TACTTTCTCGCCTTTTTACGTAAAAAAACAAAGTATTGTAATGGTTCCGCAAAAACCTATTATTTTTCACCAGAAAAACTCGTATTGTGGGTTCCTGGTAATAAAAAGTGAGTAAATCGTTTCCTATATATAGTAAATTGTTCTCTGTGTAACCTCTAATATGCTGTCTAGTCAGAATTCATGTTTTGTGGCTCCTTCATACCGAAAAAGCATCTGTCCTTCCGTTTGGAATGAACGCTAGCTCGTATACCGTCCACCTGATTTTCTCCTCAATTGATATTCTCTGATCGCTCTTAACGAGCTTTATGAGGTTGAAGCGGATGTTTTTATTTGGAAGGGGCGGGGTAATTTATATAAAACATCAACAAAAGTGTAAATTTTTTCTCTAAATTGTCTGATAGTTTTTAATTCAACTTTTTGCTCTGAGAGCACAGCGGACGCTTTGAAAATGGCGCAAGTCCAATTTTCGATAAAATCTCTGAATTTTTGAAAATTACAAAAGTTGAAACTTTATTCGAAGTCTTCTTACAACTACAGTATTGAAGATATTAATTTTTTTCGTTAATAAAACCTGTTCTTCAAATTCTTCAAAGACAGATCTAGAAATACATTCACGTTCAATTTTTCGAAACTGAGTAGTTTTGTCCTAATTTTGCGTGAAAATGGATAAATTTCAAACAATGATATTCGCAAAACCTGCTGATTTTTTTCTTTTAATATTTTCCTTTGATTGACCATTACATGATTACAAAATAGCGCTGACCCTGTTTTCGGCAAATTCTCTCTATTTTTGAGAATTGACAAAAATTGCATTGGAGAAGTACAAAATGATGGGCAGCCCGTGGAGTAGTGGTCAGACTGCACACGTTCCACCGCTGGTGCCCGAGGTCGATGGGTTGGATCCCGGCGGCGCCTAGGCGATAGCTGAAGAAGTAGCTGGGAAGGGCAGCAACTACCTCGGGGGTGCCGGCAGGGAGAATCCCGTCCTGGACAACTAGAGAGAGGGGAAATGGTGAGTGAGTGGGGGCGCCTCCTTCTAACACCCTAGATGCCGCTTGTAGAGAGAGAATGTA